AATTCATGTGATGGCTGGGCAAGCAACTTGTTCATGGAATCTCACAATAGTCTATGGTAGTCCTCATTCCCAGTTTCGGGTGGAACTTTGGAGGGATATTAGAAGAATTGCGATGGAGATTAAAGGTGCATGGTGTTTGTTAGGTGATTTTAATGCAGTTCTTCAAGACGGCGAAAGACATGGTGGTAAGCAAAGGGCCATCAATAAAGGCGATGCTGCGTTTAGGAAGTTAGTGAAAGAATGTGACTTGATTGACATGGGGTTTCAAGGCTCTCCTTTCGCATGGAAACGAGGCAACTTATATGAACGTCTGGATCGAGTGCTAATCAATTTAGATTGGCAAGTGATTTTTCCTCACGCGAATGTCCTACATTTACACCCTCTGAAGTCTAACCATTGTCCAATCATGTTGAAGCTAGGTGGCATGATGAACTCAAGAAATCATCGTCGGCCTTTTAGATTTGAAGCTGCCTGGCTTACTCATCCGGAACTTCCAAAGGTTGTCTATAACGGTTGGAATGAACAATCAGAATGGGCTAACAAGATGAGTTCTCTTCAAAAATGTCTTGCCAACTGGAATCGGACCACCTTTGGCAACATTTTCTTCAAGAAACAGAGGCTTTTAAGAAGATTAAATGGTATTTCTACAAAGTTATCTCATGAACGAAATGACTTTCTTGAAGAGCTGTCTAAGAAACTATGGAGTGAATATGAACATGTTCTGATACAAGAAGAGCTACTTTGGTTTCAGAAATCCCGCTACAAATGGCTTGAATTGGGAGATCGTAATACAAAATACTTCCATGGATCCACACTAATTAGAAGAAGGAAAAATTGAGTAGTAAAACTACAAAATGATTCAGGTGATTGGATAGAAGATAGAGTAGAATTGGAAAACTTGGCAACAAATTACTATAAGTCCCTATTTACTGAACCAGGTAATAGTGAGCCCTTCTGTCTATCGAATGCATTTCCTGATGTAGATGAACTAGTGTGAACTCTTCTCTCTCCCTACACTTGAATTCATATTTTCGCATTTTTGTTTTCATGCTTAGTGATATGTGTACTTAGGCATATTCATTTCATTAAGAATTGATTGAATTTAGACTTGTATAAAATCTGAACTGAGTATCCTATCTAAAAACTATAAGTGAACACACTTCTTAGGAAAAATTTATAAAAGTTTTGGAAACCAAGAAAGCTACGCAAGAAGCTTATAAAAACCAATTCACCCCCTTCTTGGTTAGGCAATCTTTTATAATATATATTACCATATGCTATGATGGAATTAACACATATCATTCTCAACATGTAATTATCAATTAGCATACCACGACAACTTCCACATAACATAACACAATTGGAGTTCCACTGCTTCGATAAAACTTATCTTTGTCTCATATGAAAGCTAAAAAGGCTATCCACAACTCTTATGAAGACTTCAAGTTCTACCTCCATCATATATTATACTGAAAATTACAAAAACCATAATAGTTTGTCTAATTGCTTACAACTTGACCCTTGGTCACTGAAAAGGTCATAGCTAGAGTTCTAGACCTTCATTTTAGGTGATTCCAAAGCGATTAGAAAGATAAAATCCAATGCTAAAACTTTCATGAAGAATCCAAGATCAAATTTGGTCATTTATTCCTATTATCGCAGTGGTCAATTTGGCACTTCAGTAGAAGATTTCTACCAATCAAATTTTTCCCCATGGTTGTACTGCTAGATGTCGGCCATCCTAGTTTTTTTCCCATGGCTATAGCACTCAACTACAGCTGCAACGTTGGATCTCAATCATCCTAATTTTCCCCATGGCTATAGCGCTCTACTAGGACTATAGCGTTGGGCGGAGAGTTTTTTATTTTTTATTTTTATTTTTTGCATATTCATGATTTTCCCTTTGTTTTTCACCTGCACTTCATAACTTTTCTCCCTAAACATCATCTACAATATCATTTTCACTTATTTATCCACACCAAAATGACATGCACCTAAATTTACACAATCAAGTTCATGCTGAAGTTAGCGGAAAACACACAGAAGGGGGGGGGTTGAATGTGTGTATGTGAGAACGAAGGAATTTTAAAAACTGTTTTCGAAAAGAGACTCCCTTTCGTCTAATGAGAATATTATTTTGAATACTTAGAAATGATGTAAGGTTGGCTTAGAAAAAGATTTTTTGTCTGAGGATTTATCGTATGCTTGAAGAAAATGTTTCTTATGAGAAAAATATTTCTTTAGATAATGAGTTGAGTAAGTATGTTTCTCGTCTGACAAAATTATGTCTGAAGAAAGGGTAAGAAGTGCAAAGAGTTTTATACTGATTCGCTCGACCTGAGCTACGTCCAGTCTCCTTCAACTGAAGGGTTCCACTAATCACAATAGATTACAAGTATTCTCAACCACTTCTGATTCGTCAACTTTACTCGCTGATGCTAGTATTCTTAAACTATTTCTGGTTCCCCAAGTATTCTTAACCACTCTTAGTTCGTCAACTTCACTCGCTGACGCTAGTATTCTTAAACCACTTCTGGTTCCCCAATTATTCTTTTACTAGCCTCTTCAAGCTTTACAAACAATAGATGTTTTAAGTGAGTATATGACTCTCACAGAGAGGATAGTATGGTTTCTACACTTGCTAAGGTATTCAACCTTAGTGTTATAAGGATATGTGTTTAGAGTGTGTATATAACTCTCGTAGAGAGGATAGGATAATTTCTACACTCACTAAGATAAACTATCTTAGTTTTACACAGATATACAAGACTGTACTGGAAGAGATATAAGATTGTTTTAATGTTCACTTTTTTTTGTCGCTTCGCTTCTTTGTCTTTTCTCTTCTCAGGTCTTGATATTTATAGCCTTGTGATAAATCTGCCCGTTGTTTGAATTTGAATGTGTCCGTTGAGGCGGAGCTTCCCGTTGGTGCATATAGCAGTTCGTTCATGGCTATGTAGATCTTTCAATTAATGCATTTGATCTTCCATTAAATGTTTTCTTGCCAAATCTGAGTTACGTGAAGTCTTTTGTGTAGTTTGTTTACTTTTATTTCTGACTTCAATCATAACCTAGGTATTTCTTATCTCTTTCCATTAGTGTAGTTGCAGAGGTGTTGTATTTCTCTGAAAAATAGGTGTACTTGCTCTGACACACGCAACTTTGACTTGTGGTTTCGCGCTCGTCCATTTTTCTTCTTTCTTTTCACCATATTGATGTTCTAGTATGTTCTTCTTATGAGCGAAGATGATGTATGATGTTTCTCGTTGTGAATAGTGGACTTCAGACACTTTTTAATATTCTTCGTCTGCGTCTGGAATTTGAGTCTCTGTCTAAGAGATAGACTTTGACTTTTCCTTTTATCTGGTTTGACCTTTTCTTTCATCTGATTTGTCTTCTTTGTCTTAGATTATCCATCATCTGATATTTTGAACTTCATCTAGTTGACCATTAGGCTCCAACTTTGTCTTGTTCTTGACTTAGCCTTGTTTGATGCTTGTTTTGGCCTTTCGTCTGATACTTCAAGACTTCGATTGGCAATACGCCATGTCTTTTATTTTCTTCTGGCTTTTGTTTGGCTTAGTTCTTGATGCTTGATCAATTCGTCTGATGTTTTGTATAGCTCAACCAGACATGGTATGTGCAAAAACACGTACTCCATTTTTCATTCTGTTATTATATTTATCTGAAACACTAATAACACACATGTTAGAAATAACAATATACATTATATTTGTCATGTTCAAAACCTTGTCGGGAGTTTCTTCGTCTGACTTAACACAAGCCTTTTTCATCCAAAGACAACCCCAACTTCAACATGCAAGTGGATTCAAAACCAACCACTATAACGAAAAACCATCACCTCATCTTCCTTAACAACAATAACATGAATCATACAAGACAAGCTAATTAAGATTCACAAAAAAAACACAATTTTCCCTTGCGTCGTTGATGATCTAGAACTAACAAGAGGAATAAAGAAGATGATGAGCTCTATATGACTTCAACTTCGGGACTCTTGGCTTCGAGGCTTCAAATCACCCACACCAAATAAGTTGGATTAGCTACAAGAAGAGAAGAGGAAATGGATCTTAGTGAAGAAAAGGGAGGTAAGATTACAGAGAAGCTCTCTCTAGTTTCTCTATAAAGATTTATTAAAAACTAGAGTTATGAGCCCCTTTTTCTCAAGAAAACCTATATAAACCCCTGCTAAAGCTAAACCAACTTAACTAAAAAATAACCTTTTATTAAATCACACCACTTACAACACACACCTTAAACATGAGTGTTATAATTACCTTGTGTTTTGTTTGTCGAAGAAGATGAATACGTAGTCACACTGAATTTTTGGTTGTTCTTGCTTTATTGATTATTGTTACTTGTGAACTGAACTAAAAATTATATTAGCTTGTTGCTTTATAACCAATTGTGTGAACTATGAATTAAAAGAGTAAACTTGTTTGCTTTTGAATATTACAATCATGAATGTTGATGTCTTTTTTGGTAGCAAGGAGGATGATTTAGAAGGAAGGAAAATTCTACCTAACACAAAGAGAGAGTCAATTATTGCTACCGATGCTTTTGTAACTACTATTGGTAATAAAAGTAAGAATAGGTTATTAATGACCAAGATCAAGATTAAGAAAACTAAGCCTAGTACTAAAATAAATAATTATAATATACATATTTACTATAAAAATAAAATAAATTATTTTATACATAATTGAAAATTTTGAATACTTTTAAAGTATGAATATCTATAAATACAAATATTTTATTATCTATCTTTGTCACATTATTAAGCTTGTACCTATTTAATTACTATTTAAAATCAATAGTGAGTTTTCTATGCATATATACATGTAGGCCGATGCAAATATTTTTTCCATCCTATTCCACAACTTAACTTTCACATCACTATATCGAAGTTAACTTTTTTACAATCATTGTTTTCTCTTTTCAGAGTCATATAAATGATCATTCAACAGGTAAATATTGGCTAGTGTATCCAAAGTTAAAAATAAAATAATTAAATAATTATATATAATAATAATAGTTAATAAATAATAAATTTTAACAATTAATATTTATTTGTCACAAAATTATTTAGTTTATAATTAATATTTATTATCATTAAAAGTTGTTTTTTAATTTGCAAAAAATATAGGATTCGATGTTTTCCTCCATTGTGGGCGCTAGCTTAAGTAGTTGTCACCACATTGCTTTTTTACTTGGATGGTGTGTTTGCTTAGTCTCACAGAATTTCTTGTCACTAATCAAGTCCTATGACCGAGGAAATCACAAGGAATTTCGCGAAAATAGATGAGAAACAGAGAAAGGAACAAGGGTCGACAAATACACTTTTTCTATTTTGCCTTATGAACATAGCACACAGATTTATTGTGAACAGTGACAAATTTATACGAACAATTAAAAATAGAATATAATGAAAAAGAAAAAAAGTGTGAAAAATGTAAAATATGATGATCATATGCATAATCAGTTTTAACTTTTATGTAAATAATAAGTCATGTGAAAATTTCTAAATCTAACTTTTATAGAAATAATATGTCATGTTTAAATAAAATAGTCATGGAGATGACAAAAGTCTAATTACCGAAAAGAAATTGTGAAGAAAAGAGAGATACTAGAAGTAAGGTTGAATAATGTTAATAAAAAAATTTATTTTTTTCAAAACTCCAAAGTAATATCTTAACTTTAGGAGTGTAAACGAAGTGATGAGCAAGAATAACAAGGTATTTTTTATGATAGTTCATCTCAACCACCGAGAGACTATGTTTAGTTTTTGATCAACTTGATCAAGCTTCACTATCTTTT